CAAAACCTTCTCTTAAAATTCTTACATCTTGTTTGCAATAAAATGTGCTATACTCTTTCTAAATCGAAATGGTTTTTCATCTATTCTGCAACCTTTGATGGAATCTATGTTTCATAAATGTATCTGCATCCTGGATAAACTTACATGCTTCAGAAATGACACCAGTTCTGTGTCATTTGCTAACAAAACACTGCTGTAGTAGTTGTATGGAAAACTTCTTTCGGTCCTGTTTGTAAGTTAAACATAGCAGGAAATAGTTTAAAGCTTCTTATTTATAACAACTGTAAGAGTCTTTTATAAATAATTGCCCGTCCTTTTATATAAACCAGTTATTTGCATTGTTCGTGAACCTTTAATGATGGAGTTCCTTTCACTTCTGTCATGTGTCTTAAGATGAAGTTTATATCATAACTGAGGTTATGGAAATATATTAAACTCTTGTCAGGAAGTCGTTCCAAAAATTCTGTTGCACAGTTCTGACCCCAAATGCTTTCACTCACTGAACCATCTTCACTGTCGTAACAGATGTTAAAAGCTTTATGAAAGCCGTCTGTGCTACACTCAAAGTCAGCAAAGAAAACATGCTCAGGAATGAACTTACATTTAGCTTTATTTACTTCTTTTGACTCTGCTTTCTTCTTCAGTTGTACACAATACTTTGGAGCATATGTCAAATCTTTAAATGGTGCAAGGTTCTGTTTATATAAGTCAGTCGTATATGTGAAAAGTTCTCCATAAGAAATAGGTTCGAAATATTTGCACTCCCACAATGTTTTCATAACATCCCATAGCGGTGTAGTTCTATCCATGCGAACTACATATTTATCTTCTCTCTTTGTATAAATCTTCATCTGTTTCTCAATGTTCATTCCACCACACTCCTTCAAGATTTCTATATAGTTGCGAATGAAATATTGTCATTGGAAGTCTTTCATTTAGCATGTAGTGGTCTTCAACAAGAAGTAAGTCAATAGTTCGAACAGTTTCACATTCTTTTGGTATATATCTCTTTATTTCATTATGTCTTGAGTCATTGAAATAACCAATGGTAACATTAAATGCTATACCAGTTGCGTCAGAAATTTCTTGTACTTTACTTTGAGGAAAGTCTCTAACACGAATGACTTCTCTCATGTGGTCAATAGTTTCTTCATTTACTCCAGCCTGAATGCAAGCATAAACGAAACAATTGTCTTCTGTCATAAGTGTTGCAGTTCTTTTGTTCAGTTCATTGAAGATTTGGTAGCGTTCAAGATTTATAGGTAATGTGCAAAGATACTTCCAGAACTGACCGCTTCTCTTCTTATAAAACTTCTTTTCACAAGGATTTCATTCCAGAAGTCATCTATATCTTGTTTATCTCCTGTTTGTTTAAGTCTGTTCAATAATCTTTTCTGTCTTTCTGTCAGTGTGCTTTCATCTCTATATGGTCGCTTCTGTGGCTTTCCTTTCTTAACATCTGACATCGTTAAGCCTTCATATTCTGTTAAATCATACATCTTTATTTCAGTAAGATTCTTTATGTTTGTCAAGAAGAAGTCATAGTGCATTTCAACAATACCTGCAGCATTTGCTTCTATCTCTGATATAAAGTTCTCCTTCAAGAGCTGATGTAGTAATGTTCCAATATTATTGAGGTTTAACGTAGAACATTCATACTTTCCACCAAGTTTATAACATACCATCCATCTTTGTTGGGAGTTTATTTTAATCTTCTCTAAGAGTCTCATGAAAACCTTACCGAAATGTTTGTGTAAGTAGTCTCTGTTTGGTTCATCTAAAGCTTCGATGTTAAAGTCAATGAGTCTATTGCCTGACTTCACATTTCTCTTCCTATTCTCTTCATCTTTCTTTAACCATCTCTCACCTTCTTTTGGTTTGTCGTCAATGGAACGAATGACATCGTTAGCTTTGCGAACTTGTTCTATAGCATTTTTAAACATCTCTCTTCTCTGTTGTTTCAGTGTGTCATCTCTCTTTCGTGTTTCACCAACGTTTGAGTTCGTAAGTTCAAACATCTCTTGACGAACATCATGAGAAAGAGCTTTACGAGTATGACCAACGTTCGCATTTGTTATGTCAAACATTTCTCCTTACTTCATGAGGTACTGAACGTCTATGATATAAGTCAATAGCAACGTCATTTAAAGGAAATGCTCTTGCATGGACTTCGTCCTCGCCGCGTTGCGGCTTTATGAACTCATGAATTCTATCATAACTTATTTCACCATTGTAGTCATTGAGGATGTCAGCGAGTGATTTTTTGTTTGTCGCGTAATGTTTGCAACTTCTATGTTAGCTTCTGTAAGAAGTTGTTTTATTTCCGAGTGTTCTAACTTAGACAACTTCCGATACATCTTTAGTAGGAAATAAAAAAATTTCTTAGAAAAAAATTAGCTTAGATTTTTTAAGGCTAGTTTTAAAATATTTCGAACTTTTTATTATAATGAAACACATGCAAGATTGCAAGTTCTTTTCATACAATGCTCTCGCTAATGCCATCAAGAATGAGTTCAATGGTGCTTCAAACGTAATGTTATCTTTAACAAGAAGTTTGTGAAAGAATCTAAGTTCGGTCAGTATGTCAGACCATTAGCTATGTCATTGACCGCAAACGTTATACTTCACAAGAGTTAGCAGTAGTTTTGAAACAAAAGGTTTCTTCGTGAATGTCAAAGATACTCATTATACTGTATAAAGAACTCTAACATTGACTTCTTCAGTATTGCTATGAATCTTTCCGAACAGAAAGAATATAAGAAGGGTGAAACAAATGTGAAATATTATCCTTCATCTCTGAAGACAATAACGAACAAAGATGTTATACAGAAATTCTTACCAAAGGTTGAAGAAGCTTCTATTGACATTGACGAAGGAAGTGAAATGGTTGAAGAAATTGACCCTGACGTCATTTAAGCAAAAATATATTTTTGGTTAGTCTTCATATCGACATTTTACAACACTTAAATGGTAAAAACAAAATAAACTTGACGAAGTGAAGATTTGCACTTCGTCGATTATGATCGACATGGAGCGTTTTGTTTTTATCATGGTTTTCTCCACTATGGTTCTAACGTGGCACCCGACGAGATTTTTTTTCATTCTTCCTCTTTGAAGTTGTCGAAATATTCTGTTATCTTTTCTTTCAGTAATGTTAAGTCTTCTTTGAATGTAAGTATTGTGCAACCTTTGATGTCATAGTGTGTTTGAGGTAACGTATCTTGAACTATTTGTTTCACATCTTCATTCGGTGTCATTGAAATCGGTAAGTTTTCACGATAGAACCAGTTTCTGTCAGATTTATATATTTTAGCTAAGTCATAAAAGCTCTTGTTGTTTCTTCTGACTAAATGCAACATAACCATATCTTTATCTTCTTCTTCTCCAACTCTTCAGTATATATCATATACTTATAACTCTTTTCCTTTCCTTTTGGTACTGAACGTGGTATTCTTTTCTGTATGCTTTTGTCTTTGGATTCAATGACTTCATCTTTTGCATGAAGTTTCTTTTCCATATCTTCGCGTTCTTGTCTGTGAAGTTCGTCAAGAAGTTTACAAACATACCATGAATAGCGAGCTGAAGCCCATTGTGCCACATTATTTACGAGAAGTCTATGAACATAATATCCTCTCAAACCGTTTGGCAATTTTTCACGGTTTTCATAGAGTTTTGGCGACTGGGATTTTTTACCTACTCGCTGTTCTTCACTGTTTTCAGAAAAAAGTATGTCTCGCTGTGCTTCGCTTAAGAGTTCAATGGTGCTTTGGTTCCTAAACCAGTCTTTAGGAAGCTTAGTGTCTGGAGCAAAACAAGCCGTCAAAATACTTTGCATCTGGTACATATCGTCTTTGACCGAACGAATGAGTCTCAATTGTTTGTTATACTGTATGTATTCATATTCTTCATTAATGGCTTCATGAACGATAGCAGTTGTTGTGTTCTCTGTTGTTGACATATCTGTCTTTATATTCCGGATAAAAAAAATATTTTATAAAAAACTAACTTTATTTTCTGACTTTCACAAAAGACCAAAAATAAACGCTTTACATGTATTTTTCAGCAACTTCGTCAAATAATTTTATAGCTTTATCTATCTCATCTACTTCAAACGTTTCTTTACCTTTCATGGGAGCACCATACCTTTTCTCAAACCTTTCAAGTAGTTCTGTTTCTGCAGCTCTCATATCATTAACGAACACAACCTTGACTCTATTGACTGTACTGTCATATCTTTGAGTTATATTATATGTTCCTATCTTATATCTCTTTGTATTGAAGTCCTTCGGTTTCTGAACGATGTAAAGTAAGCCTTCACTGCAACGTTCCGTATTGAATGAACCATATGTTATGAAGTTATATCCAACAACTGGGTCTAACCATAACAAAACTATTGGTATAAGACTTTTGTCAATGAGATATGCTGTAGTTCCATAGAATCTTACCGATATCATAAGCTCAGGATTTCTTGTCAAAATTTTCTGAGTTGAAGCATTTCTAACCCAATGGTTTGTTTTCTTTTCAGATGGAGATATAATGTCTGACAAAGAATATTTGTTGTATTTCTTTGAGTATCTTACGTTTAAATCACCTATTCTAACCACTTTGGTGTCATTGTCTATCTTTCTAACTGTTTCAAACTCAATGTTTGTCATTTCTGTCTTTACATACAAAATAAAAAAATAAATAAAAATAAAACTAACTTTATTTTTCTAACTAATGAAATTCATTATTTTTGTTGCTGAATTCAATAAAAATATATTTTAGGTGAAGAGGTGAGATTTCACCTGTTTTCTCACCTAATTTTTCACCCCAGTTATTTTATAAGTGTTTTACATGGTAAACGTTATTTTTTAAATTTTGTGAAAACTCAACGGTTTGACACATGCCCTAAAAATTATTTTACTCAGAATTTTGTTGCTGAATTCAATAAAAATATATTTTAGGTGAAGAGGTGAGATTTCACCAGTTTTCTCACCTAATTTTTCACCCCAGTTATTTTATAAGCGTTTTACATGAATTGTACGATGTATATTTGAAATTCTAAACAATTTCGTAGCTTCTATTTCTTCTGTCAGTATGTCAAAAGTTTTAACAATGCCGAAAGTTTCTTTATACTTCTTCTTGACGTCAGATAGAAGGAAATCGTCAGCTGTTGGATAGTTTTTGTTCAGAAATGCTAACATGTCCATTTTATCTTCTGCTGGTTTCTCTACTTCTTTCTTTAAGTCAGCATAGTCGTTTCTCATACGTTCTATCTCTTTGACGGAGTAGTTATATTTCCTCATTGCTGCTTTACATTTTGAACATTGCGGATTCATTTTTGCGTTATACATTGAAATTTGACCTGCTAGAACAACTAAGGCGTCAATGGTTTTCTTTAACTCAAAAGTTGTTGGTTTTATTTGTCCATTCCATATTTTACATCTTTTATCTTTATCTCTTATCTGCCATACACATTCAGCAACTAATGAAACAAAGTTGTCGTATGTCTTAAACTCCCCAGATTTATATATGTCAGAAATGTTTTTATAAACCATGTCGCAATCTTTGTTCATAACTTTATGGTTGCAATGAAAACCAAGGAATTCATAATTTACTTTACGTATGAACTTCTTTATTTCTACTGAATCAGTAACTTTAACTTCAATTTCATCGAATTCAGGAATAGTTAGTTTTTGCTGCTGAATTTCAGGCAATTTGGGTAAATGGTCAATAATGTCCTGCATGTCATAAAGATACTGTTCATTTGTTTCATCTTTCGCACTACAGTCTAAATTACTTGTTAAAAGTTCTTGCTTAATTCTTTGTATTTCTGTCTCAAAAGTATATGAAGAAGGAATAAAGCTTTTCATCTCTACCAACATTGACGTAGGATTCATGACTAGCGAGTTTGGTGCTGTAGTTGTTTGAATTGTTGTTGTGCCGATTGTTGAAATCATATCTTTTATACAAAATAAAAAATAAATAAAAATAAAACTAACTTTATTTTTTCTATCTTAAGGAAATTCATGAAAATTCACGAGAAAGCAAAAGCAATCTGAGCCGCTAAGCGGTGAGAAAGGAGGTGAGAAAACAGGTGAAAAAGGAGGTGAGAAAACAGGTGAAATCTCACCTCTTCACCTAAAATATATTTTTGTCTGATTTACATCCAACGAAAAAGTTTAGAAGAATTTTCTTATTCTTTCTGGCATGTTTTTATCTTTCCAGTACTCCCGCTCTAATGGACCCAGATGAGTTGGTTTAGATTCTCTCAAGTTCTTAGATGGTATAACATCTTCAACGCCTCCTTCATATCTTACTTTATAAGTGTCATCGTTTATGTTATAGCCAAGTATTTCAATAACCACTCCTCGCTTTGCTTCGTCAATGGTTTCAGCAAGTTTGCCATTACTACTTTCGACTAATTTATGACGAGGGTAAAATGCAATGGAGTCGTCAGCAGCTTTTATAAGATATCCATTACCTTGCGTAGAGTCTACGATATAATAGTTTCTACTTAACCTTAAACGTTTCTTTGTCAACGGTTTGTCGTCAAGAACTACACGAACTTTTGTACCAGGAATGAGGGTAAATTGTGTTGAATTTCTGATATTTTGTGTTTGGCTTCGTTTCTTTTGTATATACTTTTCTTCTTGTTGTTGTGTCATTGAATTTGGTGTATGTCCTGTTGTAGAATGTGTTGAGGAATTATATACTTCGAGAAAATGTTTCATTGTTTCTTCGGTAAAGTCTCGCTCTTGGTTTAAATCTCTGAGCGTCCTTATGAAGCGGTTTATGATGCCGAGTATGTTATGGTTATGGTCTTCAGTAGTGTAGTGAGTTATGTTATGCTTAATGAGAAAATCTGTGATTTCATTGCTGAGGTATGCTGAATCCTGGTCTGATGTTAAAGTACTTGGGTTATGTTCTGCTACAAACTTTTGTAAAACTCTTAACACTTCACGAGTTCCTTTATTTTCATTGGATATGCATATGCTTTGCGAGTGTTAACATTAATGAAGATGAGGAATGGTTTATGTCCTCCTTTTCTGCTTTGAATGAGAGTGTCAAATTGGTATGCGTCAGGAGTGTTGGAGTAAATTGGTAAAAAGTAGTCGTAAGGGTTTATTTTTGTTTGATGTACAACATTTTTGTCAAAGAACCTTTTCACTTCAGCTCTGTTAGTAAATCCCCAACTCTTTGCAGCTTCATTGAACTTCTTAAATGACCTCCATGGATGTTGTTCGAATACTTCTTTCAAGCTCATTTATGTAAAAATAAAGATTTTATTCTAGGCTCAAGCGAGTTCATTGAACGCGGTACCATGCGAATATAGTCACAAATGGTGGCATGTAATCTGCACCCGAACCAGTTGGATTTGTTGTGAAAGTGTGTGAATGATTTCCTGTGGTTCCACAGAAAATACCTGCGTTTGAATCTACTGGGTCAGTTGAAATATCATATCTATTCATTCCCTGTCTATCCGAACCTGCTGCAAGATTTGTATAACCTCTTTTTGTTATTGAATGTGAATGATTACCTGTTGTGTTTGTAGTTCCTGTATGAGTGTGTGGTGGAAGGTTTGCTTCTTTAATTTTCTTCGAACCTCCTGTTTGCTTTGAATATCTAGCACAGTATAAGAATTTATCTACAATCTGCTTCCACATACCAAAACCTAAAACTGTTGATGGATTTGTTGAGTTCATTGACGTATAAATAGAACCAACAGGATATAATGTTTGAAGTATTTCTGTCTTTAATGTTTGAAGCTCTGTTTTGTCTGCTTTCTTATCTAACATTGTTGGTAGTTCATATGCTTCAAAGTTTCTGGCATGATCTTCGATATTCCTGCAACTGTTATCTAAATTGTTAAGAGTATCTTTTACGCTTGTACTTGGATTTTCTAATGGTGCATTTGAACCAAGGGTATAGTTCAATATTATGTCGTCTGCTCTAACAGTAGTGAAGGATTCATGTGTATGGTTCTTGTCAGCTTTATTATCATATAAATCTTGAGCAGTGAATTTAACATTATTTTCATCATCCATGACATAAACATTTTTACAGCTAATTTTTTTCTTCGTTGTTATGTTTTCATTCGATGTTAAACCTTGTGGAAGTTAGGAGGTTTATAATATAAAGCAGCCGCGTGCGGCGGGGCTCCGCCCTCCCCACCAGTTCCTTCAACCGTTCCTTCAATACTTTCTATAGCAACAGTTGAGAAGGAGTTATGTGTATGGTTCTTATCTGCTTTCTTATCTAACATTGCTGGTAGTTCATGTGTTTCAAAGTTTCTGACATGACCTTCAATGTTCATACATTTACTATTTAAGGAGTTTAGTGTATCTTTTACACTAGTGCTTGGATTCTCTAAAGGTGCACTTGAACCAAGGGTATAGTTCAATATTATGTCGTCTGCTCTAACAGTAGTGAAGGATTTATGTGTATGGTTCTTGTCGGCTTTACTGTCTAATGTAGCTTGAAGTTCATTTATATCGGAGATGTTGTGTTTATGAGATTTCAAAACTTTGTTCATTGCGTCAAGTTCATCTTTGTCAGCTTTACTTTTAATAGCATCTTCAACGGTTATTTTTGTCTTAACTCTCAAAGTAAATCTTGGTTCAACTAATACACCGTTAACAGAGAAACTAGAAGCATAAATTTCATCGTTATAACCAAATGCTTCTGGTGCTTTACCTGTGTCATACTGTACAGTACAGCTTATGTCATAACCTTTAGCACGAATGTATTTATATCTTCTTTCATTAACATCTTCCGTCTTCACTTCATCACTTCGTGTTAAATATCCATGGTAGTCCGTTATAATCTGTTCGTCTGAAGTTATATAATGAACATGGTTTTTATCTGCCTTACTATCTAATTTCTCTTCTATCTCATTTATTTCAAGTTCAACTCTTCCTCCAGAACTCTTATTATCATTTATTTTCTTCATTAATTCCGTAATTACATCAGAAAGACTATATTCTGTTTTCGGTTTTGTAAATAATGAGTCAAAATTTCTTTTCATCATTACATCGCTTACATTAATGATATCAGCTATACCTTTTTCATTTATTCTCTTCATTAGTTCTGCAATAATGACGAATATATAATCTGTTAATTTATTCTCTTCATCGAGGGTTATAGAATGTTTTGAAATCGAATCATTAACGCCTCTAAATAAATCAATAACTTCAGGATACAAGTTTTTAATGTCTCGAATAACCCGACCCGTATCCTCTGGTTTCTTCTCTTCTTCATGTTCTTCGTTCCCGTCGTTACGCGGCTTTATGTCTCTAACCATCATCAACGCAGTCATAACCGGAGGGTTTGTTGCTACCTGTTCGAAAATCCGTCCGTTATGTACGGTATATCTAAATAATTTCTTTGTGTTTGTTAAAACATTTGAAACAAGTCTTTTAAAACCATCTACAAAATTTCCTGTTTCACCTAATGTTCTTGCAGCATTTACAAGCTCACCCATTCCCGCTTTTGACCCCAAAAACGTCCATATTGCGTTTATTTCACTCTGTATTGTTGTCCATTCAGCGAAACTAACACCCGCATTCGCTAAGTTGAAAATGAAATTCAGTGGATCGAACTTAATTCCGCCTTCTTTTTCAATTTCAACGAACTCACTAACATGAGATTTTAAATATTCTTTCGTTAAAATTGTTTTCCCCGATGTTATGTCATTAACGAAACTATCACCGTCAAAAGTTAACGAATTCAATTTCGTCGTTGATGCTTTTATTTCATACACCGCTTTATCTATAGTTTTTGGCTCACCTTCTTTAGAAATGTATGAAACATTAATGAATGAATTATATGTATTCATGAATGAGTTAAAATCAATGATTTTCATTAATGAAGCCTTTAATGATTCGTTAACTGTTGAATCCCTTAAAGCAATTAATGAACTGTCATTTATGAAAGGTACACTGCAAACCGTCGAGTTTGGATCAAATGCTGTAGTTGGTGCAGGAATATTAATGATATAAGTCATTAAATCATTAAGTGACGTAAATAATGTTGTCGTTTTTGATTTAATTTCTTTAGCATCTGTTATATATGGTAATTTTATTTCTGTAGTTTCTGAATTAAAGATATTCGCTAAAATGTTTTGTAAACTGTTTTGAACAGCTGTATAAACCGTTGAATTCGGAACCCTTACGATTTCACCATCCTTAATAAAGGGCATTGCACATGGCGTAGTGCTTGGGTCAAATCTTTCGGGATTATAATTCAACATATATTCTAACGCTTCATGAACAGACTTATATACTGTTGTGTCGTTCTTCATGACAACTTCACCATTTACAATGAATGGCATAGTGCATGGAGTTAAAATAGGGTCAAACTTTTCATAGTCCTTCCATGTTATGTATTTCTCGGTATTTCCATCACTGATAACAATATATTTGTCAGTAAGTGTGAGAGAGTATTGACCAAAATATAAACGTTTAGCTCTGTCAGCTTCATACGCATATGCAGCTATACTCATATTTTAATGAGAATAAAATGTTGTTCTATTTGCAAAGTACAGACCCAAACGAATACGGGACAGTAAAACTACAAACAAACTTAGGTCTACAGAATGAGGCACTTGCATTCAGAATGGTTGACTTTAATACTATCGCTTCATTCGTTATAACTGATGAAACAGATTTCATGGAGCTTGAAATAGATGGAAAGAAGCACGAAATAAGATTTCACAATAATGTAGAATATAAGATGGAAACATTAGCTGGAGTGTTAAACGCTCTCATAAATACTACAATAAACAAGGATAACGGAGAAAACTTAATGAATGTTAAACTTATTGCAGGAGTTTTGAAGTTCAGTTATGTGAAGGAGTTTAAGATAACACGAATGAGTCATAGAGTTCAATTGCTTCTGGGAGCATACCATATGACATTTCCTTTGAAAAGTGTTGACAAAACGATTGAGATGAAATCTGTTCCATACGTATGTTATGGCAATTGTTTGTACATTGAGTCAAAAATAGCTAATGTCACAGGTATTTCAGGAGTTAATAGTAAAGGTTCAGTAGAATATAAATCCTTCTGTTATGCAGTCAATTCAATGTTCATTCCAAACGTTCCTGTCATAGCAACTCATTTAGGTAAATGGGTTCGCATTAGTCCTCATAATTTGAAAGACATGCAATTCAGACTTGTTGACTTTCAAGGAGAGCCTGTAGAACTGAAGGCACCAGTGCGAATGACTGTTGAAGTTGACTTTTTAGAAAATATTAAATGCAACAGCTTACAAGAGAACTCAGAGCTAAAAATATAAAGTATGAATGTTATGTATTTAGGTCATGAACTTTGGTTGTTGCTGTTTGATGAAACAAATGAGTTAGTTATGTCAGTCAAGAGAACAGAAAAATATTGTGTTAGTGAAAACTGCACCAAGTCAATAAGATTAGGTTTGCATTATGAAGATGAGTTCGATACTGTTGAAGAAGTTTTGGATAGATATTACAAATTGCTAACTTGAAATTTTTTGACTGACGGCGCAAAGCGCCAAGATGGGCTCAAAGAGCCCTCCTGACTGCTTTAATTTACTAAAACATATTTCAAACAAAGCTTATAGTCAGTAGATAGTTTTGTATATACGTTCGAATATTTATACTTAAACTCAACTCCTGTAGTTCCTGGTGTTTCAATGATGCGGATGTTACCTATTTTCATGAATAGTGGAGTTTGACCACAGCATTCGATTTCAGGATCGAGATAGTCAATGACACATTGTTTCCCTGTTATTCGTGAGATAACATTTTCAAGGTCCTCCTTTGTTAGAATTATTTGGTTCTTACTTATAGGATTTGTCAAAAGCTTCTTATCGTCTTTGAGTAAAATTGTTTGGTATAACTGAAGAAGGTAATGGTCTACGTTATCTGAAGGATTTGTTTTGAACATTTGTGTAAGGGTTGTCGTTGGCTTCTCTTGAAAGAATTTGGTCCAGTGGTGGATACTCTAACTTAACATCTGATGTAGCGTTAGCGTTTGAAGCTGAGTTTAAATTCACGGCGTCATGCGCCAAGACGAAGGTCCCGACTTAAGTTCTGGTTCTTTTTCTTTCAAACACTCTGAACTATAGTTCTTTATGACAATATTGTTTGTCGTTCGTGAGTCAACATTTGATGTTGGTTCAATTGGAACATTAACGGCACCAGCTAAGATGGATTTGCTTCTCATTTCATATAGAATAAAAACCTTTTATATGTATGAAATGAACAATATACTCGACAAGGGTTTGAATGTAAAGCTAACGAATGAAAATATTGTTGAATTCACTGAGACAGGTGCTGTGTATAAAGATGTAGAACTACTGAACAAAAGAGCTAAGGGAAGAAGCAGGAACATGAACAAAGGGTGGAAGCCTATAAAAATTTATGTCAATGATAGCTCAGGAGGTTCAAACATAAAGTATGCAGAAAGTTATAGAGTTTATGTTCTCAAAGGTGAAAAGCCTTCATTTAAGAACAGCTATTCTAACGCATATCCTCAAAAGTTAACGGATGGGGAAGTGGATGATATGAATGACAGCAAAAATATTAACAGAAATGGCGACAGAGATGCATGGAATTTGTTTACCATCAGTCAATTGAAGGTTAAACTTTAAAACAATGTTGGTCGTTCCCATGGAATATTTTTGACTTTAATGGTATTAGTCATGATATGAATCTCAAGTATGAACGAGGAGAGATGGAGACTTATATGCTTCCCAAATTTCTTCAAAAGGTAATGTTATACCTGACTGTTTCCAAATGAGTTCAATATCATAACGTGAGAAACCTTGAAAGATAACGAAGTCAGTTATGAGACGTTTTATGTTTAAAGCAAGAAAACGCCATGTTTGCATAAGTATTGCTACAGTTAAGTGGTAATGTCTGACTTTAGTTATGATGTTAGCTAATGGTGAGTCAGGCTTTGACACTAAACCTTTACCAGCGAAATCATCACAACTAATAAAGTGTTTGATGGATATTTTTTGAAGGGGTATTTTGAAAGTTTTGACAGAATGTAGTTTGTAAGTCGTTTCATATCGTAAACTCCTGAGTATTGACGTAAGTGGTGTTTGTCAATAATTCTTTCCATCTCCTCAGAAGTCTTTTGCATTCCTGACTGTATAAATTCAAACGATGGCATAATATTTCCTCTTACGTCGAATGTAACGTTGAAGAAATTCAATGAGTTCACTGTCTGGAACTTTAACGACAGAGGCTTGAACTTTTGACATAAATGTTTTCGCTGTTGAGTCCATAGAGTCTGAAGTTGCTGATATAATGATTTGGTCATAGTAAGAGTCGTTTCCTAAACGTTCTGTTATGAGTATATGACGAATGAGGTTGAATGTCTTTCCTGACCCATCTTTCCACAATAGAAATAACACCATTTGAACAGAACTCATAGTCCTTACTGAAAGGAAGAATGAGAGAAGAGTTAAGTTTGTCTGTAGTTTCATTCATGTCTTCATCTACATCATGTATTAAATGCTTCATTTTATCTCCATTAAAAATGCAAGTCAGAAATATTCAGAACATAGCACCGAGTCTAACTGACAAGAGTATAAAGATATACTATGAACGTTATGATGAAACCAACCAAAATTCAAGAAAGTCAGTATACTTATGAATATCCAAGACACTGGGTAGAGTATGTAGGAGGTGAGAAAGCTATTGAAATCAGACAGGTTCGAAGTATTCCAGCAGGAAGAACAATATTATTGAAGAACTTTAATGTTTTGAGATATAATGATGAAACAAAGAAGCAAGATAGTTTCCCTGTTGCTGTGTATGTGAACCTAGACACAGGAGATGACATGAAAGTTTTTAACACAAAGCTTCAAACGGTAGTGAGAGAACAACTTACTGCGGAAGGACATCCATTACCTTCAGAAGTTACCATAGCATATAATTTTGAAACAAACTCAATAGATTTTAAAGTCATCTCTGCAAAGAAGTCAGGATTTACATTTAATGAAGCAGATGTATATTCGAATGAAAACTTCAAAGCTATTGCATGGTTAGATAATGACGATTGCTTTAAGAAAATCTTAAATTCAGTGACTCAACGATGTCAATAGATGACCTTCGTGGAATGTTACCATCGACGTTTACAGTAGAAGGTTCAGCAGGATTGCTTACAAGATTGTCAATTGGTGGTATTTGGTCTCGTGAGAACATTGTTATAAAATCCAGTATAAGTGAATTTGCTGAAGAATCTATATTATGTCTTTCAAAACTACATGTATTCGCCGCCGAAGCATTATAGTATAACAAAACTTTGTCCAGTAAGTTTAACATAAGACTTGTCGAACCTTCTTCAATGAAAGATGTTGTGCTACCTAAAGATGGAAAGGATGGACTCATTATTGAGATGATTTTAATAGCATATTAAATGAGCTTGTTCTTGAAGGTCATTCATGATGAAATAACTGTTGTAGAAGATGTTAGCAATTGTTCAGACATTTTTTGAAGAATAGATGAGATAAGAAAGAAGTTAGATAGACCGCAAAGCGGTGAGGGCGAAGCCCGTGAGAACGCTTATGTTTCATTGACTTTCTCCAGTAACGAGAACTTTTATGAGATAATATTGAAGAGAGATGATTTTAATATGGTGTAAATGGTAGCTTGGGCAGCTTTAGGCGCAATGGGAACAAAAGCATTAGCATTTGGAGCAAAAGCACTTGGAGCTTATGACGCAGTAAATAAAATGAGTGGAGGAAGGGTTTCGAAGACATTAGATGCAAATAAAGGGAAGATTGGAGGCTGGGTTGCAAAGAAGTTAAGATTAAATAAAATAGGGCTCATAAATAAAGCATCCAATTTGGTTGCGACTGAGTCAGAAAATGCTTTAGGAAAGGACGATGAGTTTGCAAAACACGCAAAAGACTTTAATGACCAGATGAAAGGTGAAACAATGCATTTAAATAGAGTCGATGGAACTAAAGAAAATGTTTCTTCTCCACCAGTAGTTCTTCCGTATGGTCCCTATGGAATGTATGGAAACCCTTACGAAAGACCATTTGACCCATTGACTGGTGGAAGTAACTGGTATCATTACGGCCGAAGAAGAAAGACAGTCAAGTTGGAGACAGACGTGAAGAAAGCAACTAAAAAGAAACCAAGGAAGAGAGTTATAAAGCAATGAATTCAACAGGGTGAAAAAAGAGGTGAGATCTCACCACTTCACCTAAATTTATTTTTGTGCTATGTTTTCATACGTGTGAGGGTGGTGATATCATTTATTTTTAAGTTTATTTTTATATAAATGACGAAAACTATTGAGATAACAAACTACAACGGTCATGAGTTCAAGAACTTGTTCTCCGTTCCTCGTGAAAATACATTCTATCAGATACGAGGGAGAAAGGGTAAAGTTAGTTTGAGCGTTTATGACTACAAGCATAATGGAAAGTTTATACAAGCATACGATACAAACGGTAAGCGTGTTTCATTAGCTTTGTCAAAACTTACAGGTATAAACTATGACAGTGATTTTGACCTATATGAAGAAGAAAGTGAGTCAGAAGATTATGAGCTGTTATATGAAGCACAGCAATGGGAGGAGTTGCAATACTTTTGTAAGTGAGAACGTTTATTTTTACATTAGTGAAGTCGTTTGTGAAAACATTAGTGAAGTCGTTAGTGGAGTCGTTTATGTGTCAGACGGTTTTGTAAATATTTAAGGTTAAGTTAGTGTTGTCGTTTGTGTTGTAAAATATACGTTAACGGTTTCGTAAAGTGTCAAATTCACATAACAGGGGTACGGTGGAACGCAGTGCCGTCGTACCCATGATATGTATACTAACTTAGTTTGGGAGCTCACAATCCGAATTGACAATCTTGTGGCGATATGATTAAGCCAGCCACGGGATGGCGATGGGCAGTAATCATCGAGCTTCGCTAGAAGATGCGGGCATCTTGCAGCGATTAGTACCCGCGCCGCAAATTTTAATCTCCTATTTTGTAATTCCGTACAGACAGCAATGGCCATTGATGTTGTAATACAGTTCAAGTCGTCTGCCATCTCTTGAACAAGTTTTTTGAACTGCATTTCATCTGGTAGTGACAAAAGGGTCATACCACCCCCTGACTGACCTTTTGTCCATGAACGACAAGTAGCAGTGCGCATGATTGCGCGTGCTACTGTCGTCTTTGAAATTGAGTAAACATTCCGTATTTGTTGATAAGACTCGCCATTTACTCTTCGATAGAGTAAATCGAGTTGCATCTGGGTCAATAGCCCAAGATTTTTATAGTTTTCTAATTCTGCAAACTCGGGAATTCGTGTTCTTGGTTGCATTTTTTTTAAACGGGAACTTCACAAATTTGGTTCATGACCATAAAAACTCATTCAATTTTTCTGAGATTTTTTTTCGTCACTCACTCAAAACGCAGAGGACCATTCTTCTCAAAATTGAATTATTTTCTCAAAGATTGAGTGAGTAAAATGGGCACGTTGTGTAAATTGATTCAAAATTTTTTATTGGTACACGACCTTTGAAATTGGTCTCGGGTTATTCAACCTACGGTATTTAGATTGAAAAAAAATATGTGGAATTAAAGAATATTATACTGTATAATGAATTATTCAATTTTTAATAGAAAATATTATTTTGATTTTCTTTGCAATTCTAGCGGTTGTGATGATGTAAACATCATAGACTCACCATGAATGTTCATCGTATTGTTGATTTAATAATGATTGTTGAGATATTGACACTGTCTGTCTTTTACATTTATTTCGGTGAAAATTATTGAAAATTTGACAGTGGCAATTTGAATTGGCAGTTTCAAATTGAAAGGAACGAAGAATACCTTCGGAATATTAACTATCATATTATTGATTAATATAAGGGTTTCGTTTTGCGAAAAAAACGTACAATACGCAATTTCGCTAAAAAAACATTTAGCTAGCAATTTCGACCTTTGACTCCACTCAAGACGTCACTTTTTTAATTTTGCGGTATCATATTTTTGGAAAATCTTTATGAATATTATATAAAAAGTCTCTTTAATATCTATATTAAAAAAAAAAAAAAAAAAAAAAAAAAGGTAGTGGGGCTTCCAGGGGCTGCGCCCCTTCTAGCCCCGAAGATGTTTAGTATAAAATGAGGTTTTTATTCGGAAAATTGTGAGTCTTGTGGTTCATCTTCTTGAGTAGAGTCTTCTTCTTCAACATCAAAGTCATCTGGTGTATCGAATTGAATGTATGAAAGCCAAATGTTGTATGTGTTTTCCAATTGGCTTTCAAACTTGAGATACATTCCATGCATGAGTGTTATTTCAGTTTCAACGTAGAGTTGCTGATGTGGCTTGAAGACATGCATGAGAATTGGTCCTCCAAATTCGTCCTTGAAAAATTGCAGTAGCAAACATAAACTGAGATAGAGTCTCCTTCTTCAATGTCTTCTGCTTGGTTAACGAAATGAATAGCAATTTTGCGTACTTGAATTGTGTTGTTGTCTGAGTAAAATAATGGTTTGAACTTGGGGTTGAGTGAGCTAAGACATTGCCATTTTGCTGTTTCTTGTCCGTACTCACGTTCTTCTTCGTCATCTTGATATCCGTAACTCTTTAATTTGAATTCGACACAAAACTGTTCGACTTTTTTTGCAGCTTTGGGTGGAAGACTTTCAATAAGCTGACATATAGTTCTGTCAAACACTATCTTTGTTATTGTTGGAAAATAGTTGACAATTGTGTCGCCTAATTCGAATGGGTCAGGTGTTTCTTTTTGTAGTTTGGTAAAGTCTGCAAGAACTTTGTTGAGTTGTTCACAATATTCTTTGTTAAAAGTTGCAGCAACTCTTTCTTCTGGCTTTGAATTGAAGTATTCTTCAGACAATCTGAGTAGTATTTTGCGTAGTTCAGCGTTGCTGTGGTTCTTTGTAATACGGAGCTCGTTTGGTATTGTTTTTGGTAGTGAAAGTGGCTTTGGATTGAGCGAATTGCAGGACAAATTTGAATTTGAATTGTCTGTTCTGCTTGGAGAATGTGTAGATGCTGCAGTTTGATATTGAGGCTCTAAACCTGTGGGCGCTGAAAGTCTGCAAGCAATTTCTTCAGGTGAATTTGGAGCGAACACGCTAGCGAATGCCATTAGACAAAAATAAACTGTTTTTTTCGGACTACTCATAGAAAAGTTTAAAATAAACCGTTTTCGTCAACGGTAACCCCCTCTATTTTTTTATTTTATTTAATAGTTACCGTTGGCAAACCGTTCCATCTCAAATATTGAATGAACTATAAACGTTTTTTGTTTTCTATATATACTTTTTTCACCATCGGACAAACTTTTGACAGAAAGGAGCTTACACATACTTTACACTTGTCAAAATATTTTTAACATACGATAGTATATATTTGCTCGAACAAATAATGGTCTATCGTCAACGCTCATAGAGATAGACCCACTTTTCTAAAGTATATATTTGAGTACTTTAAAAAAATATTATAGAACGATATAACAAATATTTTACAAAACTGACAACACTTTGACCGAGTAGTTTTTTGAGCTGAACAAAAAGTGTCATATAAACATCTGTCAAAAACCGCTTTTTAACTTCACTTAAAATGCCACGTAAGCTACGTAAGAATATACGTAAGAGGAAGAGAGCATTGAAACATCCAATAGTAAAACTGACACCACAACAACAGTTGCAACAACAAATGCTGAATGACCCCACTATGTTGCAACAAATGTCAAGCAATCCTATGCTTTTAAACCGAGTCATTGGTGCACAGAGTGGAGGTTTAAGAGCGGCACTTTTAGCGAAAATGGCAGGCTATGGTGGAGCTGCAGACGGAACAGCCTATAACCCTCAAAGTCAAATGAATTTGAGTTCACTCAAAAATCAAATAACAGATGTCAAAAAGTCAAACATAGACATACAGAAGCAAATAAGTGAAAACGAAAAGAAACTAGAATATGACAGACACACAAAGAAACTCAATGAGTTAAACGTAGAGAAAAAGAAGAAAGAAGAACAACTGAAAGAACTAAGTACAGAGGAATATGCGAAAAAAGTGTCAGAAAAAGCAGCAGAAGTAGCAAAAATGGAACAAGATGTCATAAATTTGAAAAACCATACTACTCAATATAAAGTACTGAAAGATGAAGAGATAAAACAAAAAGCCCTGAAGACATATATGGATAGCGATGAGTATAAAAAAGAAGTTGAAGCAAATGTAAAGGCAGAAAAACTTTTACAGTTGCAAAACCAAACCGTACAGTATGAAAACTTAGCACAAGAAAGTAAAAATAACGACGCGGCTATGCAAAAGGCAATGAAAAGCGCAGAATATATAAAAGCTAACAATGACTGGTTAGATGCCCAAGCCAACGCTAAAGCAGCCCAACTCATAGGGTCAATAAGGACAAAAATACAAGCGGATGAAGACAGTTCAAATGAAGCTTTAACAAATGCTGACTTTAAGAACGCCTTCGAAGCTCTTCATAGTAAGGTGAAACAAGTGAACGACTTCTCATCTGGAAAGAAACTGAAGTCTGAAGGTTTCGACAAAGAGTTAAAAGAAGTAGCACAAAATATGACGAAAATAACAGATGCAGCAACGAGACAGGCAGTTCAAAGTGCCTATGACGCCGTTAGAGCAACTGTTGTGAAAGTCAAGAAAAAGAGTTACAACAGACCAAAACAGACCTAGTAAATGCTTTCTTAAGAACGAAAAGTCAGGTAGGACATTACGCTGCAGATGGAACATATGTGCCAGCTGGTGGAACTTATATACCACCAAACCCTCCAAGAGAAGCACCTGCACCAGGACTACCTAAAACATTTACATCGTCACATGGACATAGACACAGGCATGCACCAAAACCAGCACAACAACCAACACAACAACCAACACAACAACCAGCACAGCAACCAACAGTTCAAAACCCTGCACAACAACAACCACAAACAGAGCAAGGACATAAAAGAAGTAGAGAACAAGGAAACCAAGAATTCTTAAAAATGCTTAAAGAAGAGTGTGGTTTCCCAGATACTGTTGACTTTAGTGACAGATATAAAGAAGCTATTGGAAAGTTCAAGGATGGAAATACTGACCCGAACCTATTTAGCTTTATGGCTCAGCACCAAAACGGATATAATCTCAAACCTGGAAAATACAAGCTCGCTAAGGGATATGATTTAATAGCATATCATCCAAATGACATGGATGAATTTACTCCGAGATATTTGATGTCAGAGCTAAATGACAATTCAACTTTCGTCATGAAACGCGTAAAAAATAGAGACGGAACGAAAGAACAAAAGCTTATGAATGCGGATGACGTAGATAGGGAAATTGTTAAAAACGGTCTCGGAATATATGAAATGCCAGCAGATGAGGTACAAGAAACTCCACAGGAAGAAGTTCAGATACAACCAGACATGGAAGAAATAGTTCAGCAACAACAGCTAGAAGAGCCTGAAGGAAACGAACAAGTCACTCCTTTGGAAACTAACTTCACAGAACTAGATGAAGATTTGGAACAGCCGAAAAATCTTGACCCTCAACAAGAGTATGCGGAGAATATGGAATATTTCCAAGAGTCTAAAAAAAATTCGGCTGACATAGTAGAAGAATATCGAAAAATGTTTGCCGACATACAAAAGACTCCAACACAGATGAAAATATTCAGCATAGAATGGAAGAACTGAAAAAAATGTACACAAATACAACAACCCTTTTTACTTACGAGCATTTAACGTTCAATCTTCGGATGAACTCGGTGAAAATAAAAGGTTAAATTTCAAGAAAACATATAGAAATGAAACATTGTTTAAAGTTCATTCAGAACCTAGCCAAGATGGAAACAAACCTACTTTTGTTTCTGCAGACGATGGAACTACAATGAGATGGGGTCATAAAGCTAATCCGGATAGGTGGTTCATAAACTTACAACCTCAATTCCAAGAAGTTGTAGACGCAATGGAAGTGAATGGTGAACCAGATATAGCTGGTATTTTCAGCGCGGCTTTAATGCCATTGAAAGATATGAAAGATGCAGATATTTTGAACCAGTATGAAATGAACATGGCTGATGGAAATATAACACCTGACGTTCTAGAACATTTATCTCAAAGAACTACACAGAACCATAGAGATGGTATATTTGGTGAAGAGTTTAGAAAGAAAGTTATGGACAGCGAAGGAAGAGAACCTATTGTACATGACCTTGCAAACGAAAGTTTACAAAATGTCATAAAAACTTACTTTGCAGACAATGAACTGAGAAGGGATGAATATTTAAGAAAACTCAAATGGACAGTACCAGATGAAATGTTAGTATTGAAAAACATGTTCCTTGACAAAATAAAACCAACTACAGAAATAAACGACGCAAGACTGAAAGATTGGGTAGAAGCTTTCCCATTCACAAAAGATATAGTTGGTAACATGGAAAGAAAACCAGAATGGCTACAAAAACATATATTTGGAAACGAGCATATTCCATATGGACAGGCACTGTTTGAAGAGCTTGAACCGGAAACTCAGGAAAGAGTCATGCAAACAATACGCGAAGACTCAAATACAGACTATGACAAACTCTTTCTAGGATATAGGTTACCTGAGATGGGCGACCAGAGCAAAAGGCAAAAAGGACATGGGAAATTTGCCAACATACTAGATGAACATAATGCAAAGATGCAACAACTTCAAGCAGAGGGCAATGAAGGAAAAAGAAGAGTTAAAAACTCAGTCAGGAAGAAAGTAAAGCTTGGTCCACGTGGGTTCTATTATGACACATAAATCCAACTATTCTATATTTTTACTCATATGAAATGTACGCCGCTCAGAATATAACGCCAACAGTTTTGGATGCTATGAATGGAAATGTTTCCGAATGGTATAACGAATGCGACAATGCATTAGAAGGTCAGAAATAGTTCCTGGAACTTACGAATATACAACTGCTGTTTCTTATGGAAACGTAGGTGAGTTTGGAGAAGGTTCTTCAACAACAGTAGATATTGCTTGCGACAGGTTTCATATTATTTCTATTGACAACTCTTTCTTATACGTGGAACAAGACATTGAAATAAAACCTTCTGCCAAGTTGTCTGACAAGAAAGGTTGCAATGGAATTTTCTATGTCGGATACCAATATGCTCCAGAAGTTTTCATGGGATATAAGATATATTCTAACTCTGACTTAGTTCAAACAGTAACATGGGCAAACTATGAATGGTTCGCTTGAAAACTCAGTACAACCACAAGCTAGAGAACAAACAGACCAGTATGCAACTATTGAGAAAATAAGAAGACTTGACCCTAACGTTCCAGGAGTTTATGTTGACCTTTCTGGACAAACTGCAGCAGCAGTAACCAAAGTAAAATTGAAACTTAGAGTTCCTTTGTCATCTTTCCTCATCTTCAGGTTTTTAAGATACTTGCCAAACTGGGCAGGAAAAATTTCTATCGAACTTACTCCAAGCAAAAATAACTTAGTCATTGCACCAACACAAGACCCATTCACTCTTACAGACGTAAAGGGAGCAAATCAAACGTCATTCGCCGAATTTTGCAAAGACAAAGTTGACTTAGACTTTGGTTTCTCAAACCTCAACACTGAAGTTAAACTACTACTTCAATGCTGCTGGAACTGCTTGGGACCCAGTTAAGTTCACATGCGAAAAGTTTGAATGCAAGAGAATAGAAAGCAGACTTGCAGTCTATATGTTGGACCCAGATATTTCAAATGCTTTAGCTGCCAAATATATTGCAGTTCCACTTATGTTCCCTATACACCAAATATCTGTCAAAGACTTTGCAGGTGAAGTTGGAAACCAAAGTGCTGACCCAGTGCAAGAACAGATATTGCTTTGACAACTGCAATGAAACATGCAGATACTATGTTTGTACTGTTCAGACGAACTATAAATGACTATTCTTGTTTCTACAACCCTGGTATTAAATACATATAAACATAGATGGCAAATACTATCCAAGAGAAGAATATTCTACAGTTGAGGATATGAGGTCATACAACTTGACATTAGATGCTATGAACTTTAACAACAACTTCACAACAACCATTAACCCTGAAATGCAAAGTTCTATTATGCCATATGTGAAAGTATGGACTCATACAGGAGGTCAAAAAACTCAATATACAAATGGAGACCGTTCAAACTTTTGGCTTGGCATTCCATTTGCTGACTCAGAAGACTTTATGGGTGGTATTTCAACTGTTGGTACAGTTCAAATACAATATACTGGTGACAGAGACGGTCCAGATGAATTGAGAGCAAAGAAGTTTACAAAACCAATAGCACTTTTCACGGAAGATGCTCTTTTGAAGATTCGTTCGATGAAACCTGCTGGGGCTCCTCAGATTGGCATAACGACAGCTTCCATCGAGCAGATTTTGGCAGCAGGTCAGTAAGTTGTTCTTGAACTGACTTCTCTCCGTCAAATATTGACAGTACGCCAGTTTTGACATAAATTGTATTATAAACTTACCTTTAGAAATATCGTCAGTTTTGTTGTTATATTTTTGTCTGCTTCAAGAACTTTCACCATCTTTCAGTTATACCAACTTTCTTTGCTTTATGAAAATATTTTGGTTCAGCAAATGCTATTCTATAACATTTTCCATTGTTTGTATAAAGAACTATTCTGTCAATGTATTTGTATTGTTTGTGTGTGTAAACTTTGTTCTGCTTCAATTCGAAGAGATACTCAATACGTCCATCTTTTTATTCTAAGTAAAATGTCATTTCCGAAAAATAGAAGCGTAAGTGTTTCAAAAGGTTTAATGGCGGTGGCAGATGTGAAGTTAAATTCACCAACTCAAACAAACAGTCAAAGTGTTGTTGTCAATGTCAAAGACAGAGATGTTGAAGTGGGGAAACCATACGAAGACGAAGATGGTATAACAATAGTTCCTGTAAAAGAACAACAACATATCCTGAAGTTAGCAGAGACTTAAGTTCTGTTGCAGATATTCGAAACGACTACCAACAACTTAAAGACAAACTTAAAACTCAGGAGAAGATTTGTCAGGCTTTGGGTATAATGTTAAACTTGGTTGAGCACAACCCTGTAAAAGTGAACTCATATGTCATCGCACCTCATGAAATTTTGAAAGAACTATTGAAACTTTTGACAGAGGCAGACGATATAAACATCAAAGAAATAGAACCCGACATTGCTTGCTGTGGTGTTTCATACAATGTCATTGACAAGATATACGTTATGAAAGGAGGTGAAACGTTGAACTTAAAATATAGTTTCCCAGACGTCATAAAAATATTTGACGACCACAACATTTCATTAAAATTTACTTGCTAAGTAAATGGCAGAAGACATAGTGGTTTATACTATTACGACTAAAAACCCTGAGTCATATAATTCTATAACAACAAACTTACAAAGTCCTCAAGGACGATATTGTAAACTGACCTTAAACACGATGACGACTAAAGCCTGTTTTGCTCTTTTGACACCAGAAGACTTTGTTGTTGTGAATGGTAAAAAATACTTCTTTGAAGATACTTACTCAGATATACCACCAACAGGTTTTGTTGACTTATTTAATACTTTAAGGACGGATGTAACATGTGCTGCAACTAGAGCAGGTTTCATTATGTTTGGATGTCCGACTGAGTTTACTATAAACGATATGAGCTATAATACAAAACTTATATCTGGTTTTTACTACCAACAGTTTCCTATAACAGGAAAAGGTGTCATACAAGGAATGTCTGTTCCATTGACTTTAAGTACACCTATTTTATATATTGTTTCAAACTTAGGTTCAAAGTGCTATTCGAATGTCGACAGAAACTACTATGACCAAAAGATACTCATGCGTATAAACAACACTTTCTCTGCTGGTTTGCCTATTGTTCATTCGAATGCAGAGTTTTCAGCTTTAGTGAACTCAAACACTTTAGCAAACATAAACTTAACCTTAGTTGACGCAAACTTTGTTCCTGTAAAACTTTTATGTCCTATGTATTTGTCAATGACGGCAGAAAGTTTCGAATTGGAAGATGCAACTGGTGAAAGTATTGTACTACAAGAACAACTTCAACAACAAATAGCTCAAGAACAACAAATGCAACAAATGGAACAAATGCAACAACAAAGTCAAGAATAAAAAAATATTTTTTTTTATTTTTATAAAAATGTACAGAATAGATGTTTCAGATTTTTATGACTTCCAAGCGTTCAGAAATATGTGTCCATTTAGAGACTATAACAAAGCAGTCGAGAATTTGAAACGTTTAGTCATTTATGTTGACTCTGCCCCAGAATGTTATGTCATGAAAGAATGGGATGTTGTCTTTAACAAACCAAGAGCAACAATAGTTTCAGAACAAGAATGTAGACAGAAACTTAAGAAAATAAAAGTCGTACAAGTTGGCATGAAGATGTTAGATGCTTGGGATATCTTATTGTCAAAGTTAGAAGATTTTTCAGTTCGTGGTATAAAGTTCTATACACCTTCTCCAAACTTCTATTCTATCTTCACTGGATATAAATACGAACAAGTAGAATGGAAAGAAAATATTATAGAAGCTTGGTTAGACCATGTCAAAGAAATTATATGCAATGGAAACGAAAAGTTATGAGTATATCTTATGTTGGTTTGCAAACATCTTACAACATCCAAGTGCTAAAAATGAAACTGCTCTCATTATAATTGGAAAACAAGGAACTGGTAAGAACACATTCTTTACAGATATTTTGTGCAAACTGTTAGAGGGCTATTCGAACCCGAATATGACAAACTTAGAAAACATCTGCGGTAAGTTTAACTCTCAATAGAGAATATGAAACTTATAGTTTGCAATGAACTTCAAAGTATAGATACAACAAAAGTTTTGAACTCAGATGCTTTGAAGAGTCTTATAACAGACAAAGTTGGAGTTGTTGAAAGAAAGTATAAAGACCAAAGAGTTTGTGAAAATGTTGCAAATTTCATTATGGTTTCAAACAATGTTGTTCCGATGAAGTTAGAAAGTTCTGACAGAAGATATGTAGTTGTCAGAACGTCAGATTCTCATATGCAAGATACAGAATATTTTGACGACTTAGCAGAAACTTTGACACCTAACTTTTACAACCACTTGTTCTCATATTTTATGACATTAGATATTTCTAAGTTCAATCCAAGACAAATTCCACATACCGAAGAAAGACAAACATTGTTAGAAGCAAACAAGAGTGTATATGAACTGTTTATAGATGAGACTAACTTTGAGTGTTTAGATGAAAGGTCATTGTACGATGAATATAAACAATATTGTCAAGAGTATGGTTATATGGCAGCGTCTAAACGAACATTCTTGGCAAATGTCAAAAATCTTTTAGACATACAGAACGGCGTATATACAAAGAAAAATTTTTCTGAGTAAATTTTATAAAAAATATATATTTTTATTTTATTTGAAATGTACGCTGAGTTTGTTGGAAAAGACCTAGATAACGAAAATAGATATGCGCTATTCTGGTTAGATTGTCCTTATGAAATGTATGAAAAAAAGGCTTTATATGAAGAATATAGAAAATATTGTCATGAAAACGATATAAGACTAAGCTCTAGAGAAAAATTCTATGCTGGTATAAAACATCTTTTCGAAGTTCGGAATGGCAAATATAGAAAGAAATAATTTTTCTGAGTAAATTTAAAAAAAATATTTTTTTATCCGATAGAAAAGATGACGAAATATATTTCAGTCAACAAATATATGACAGAAGTCAAAGATAAGTTAGCTCCATTCGCTTATTTGAATGTTTACTTCTACCATTTTGAAAAGTCTACATTTGACAAAGTTTGGAACATCGAACCAGTTAAGTTTGCTATTGTGACTAAAAATGGTGCGAAATTTGAAGACTTAGACATAGAAGGTTTGTTAGCAGTCAAAGAAAATTTTGACAGAAGGTTTTCAAACCTTAAAGAAGGCAAAGCATACAAACTTGTTATACCTTATGAACCAAAGAAAGCAGACGACTATGAATATTATGAGTCTAAGATAGTTGAAGTTCAAGGTAAATTGGGTAAAAAGATTTTAGAGTCTAAGCCAGTGTTTGCTCCTAAAGAGGAAGAGAACATTGACATTGACCCAGAAATGTTCTAAAAATAAAAGTTTATTTTTACATGTCAAATTTCTTCTTCTCTGGCTCTGGCTCTGGTTCTTTCTTCTCTTCTTCTACTTTCTTTTCTTCTACTTTCTTTTCTTTCTTTTCTCTCTTCTTCTTCTTCTCTGGTGGAGTTATGTCAAATTTGGCGCAACCATATTTATGTAAAAGTTCTTTGTCCTTTAATAGCTCTTCTATTCTGTTTTCTATTTCATCTTCAAGAACAGCGCATGTGCCTTCTTTGCATTCTAAGAACTTTTGTTGGACTTCATCTTTCCAATCGGCGTCATCTCTGTCAACAAGTCTGTCATTGACAAACTTAAAGACTTCTCTGCCTAATGTTTTATGGTTCTTGTCATATTCCCAGAAACAGAACTTTAGAACAAATTCACCTTTCTTGTTTACACTATGTAAGATTTTATGGTCGACAGATGTTTTGCTGTCGAAAAGCTTGTCTCGAATATAGATAGCGAAATCGCTAGACATTTTCAAAAAGATAAAAATTTTAATTTTTCTAAAAATATGTTAGAAAAAAAGTTTGCTGACATTGACAAGAAATTTGAGAATGTTTTAAATAAGAACAAGAGGAAGTTGGAAAATGCTCAGATAAAACCCATACATGACAAGTTCTTATTTGCTCAGAATGGTATAACAGGTCTAATCGCACCACCTGGGTCGGGTAAGACTTTCACTTATCTTAAAATGGCTGCACAACAACAAGAACTAGATGAGAAGAACCCATTCTATGAGTTAGTTGTTATTTGTAGTACTTCTGGTCAATTTGACCAAACCGTAAATTCGTTCAAAGATATTATAAAAAAGTCTAAGTTAGTATGTATAAAAGACTCTGAGTTGTTGGATTGGATAAAGAAGTACCAAAGAAGAGTTTTGAAGTACAATGCTATAAATGAGTATATAAATTCGAAGTTTAAAGACCAAATGAGGAAATGCAGAGAATATTAGAGAAGAAACACTTCAGAAACAAACAGAAAGAGATAGAATACATTTCGAAGAAATTGCAATCTTACGATTGGAAGACTTACCCTCACAGATGTCTTCTTATCTTAGATGATTTCGCCTCTCATCCTTTGTTAAAGAACAGAGAAACAAAGACATGTGTCGAATTCTTAAGAAGCTCAGGCACTTTAACATCTCTGTTGTCATTTGTGTACAGACAGCAAAGAGTTTAAGTAAGGATGTTAAAAGAATACTTACTGATATCATACTTTTCCCTGGATTGTCCGAAGACGATTTCATGGAACTTATGAAAGAGTCCATGGCAGGTAAGTTTGACAGACATGAACTATGGGAGAAGTACAAAGTCATACAAGACCCTCATACTTCTTTCAGAATTCACATCTACGCGAACAAAGTTCAAATTGTAAAAAGTCAATAAAAATAAAGAGTTTTGTGCTGAATTCAATAAAAATATATTTTTAGGGTAGATGGGTATATCTAACCCGATTTCTAACCTCATTTCTACCCCATATGTCCTTACTGAAAAAGTACGTGTTCCATATGTCATTTTACTCAGAATTTTACTCAGAATTCAATAAAAATATATTTTAGGGTAGAAGGGTATATCTACCCCGATATCTAACCTCTTTTCTACCCCAGTTATTTTATAAGCGTTTTACATGGTAAACATTGTGAATTCGTGAAATTCTAAACAATTTCGTAGCTTCTATTTTCTTCTGTCAGTACATCGAATGTTTTAACAATGCCGAAGGTTCTTTATATTTCTTCTTGACATCTGAAAGAAGGAAATCGTCAGCTGTTGGATAGTTTTTGTTCAGAAATGTCAACATGTCCATTTTATCTTCTGCTGGTTTCTCTACTTCTTTCTTTAAGTCAGCATAGTCGTTTCGCATACGTTCTATCTCTTTGACGGAGTAGTTATATTTCCTCATTGCTGCTTTACATTTTGAACATTGTGGGTTCATTTTAGCATTGTACATTGAAATCTTACCTGCTAGTATGACTAAGGCGTCAATGTTTTCTTCATCTCGAACATAGCGGGTTTTATTTGTTCGTTCCATACCTTACCCCTACTATCTTTATCTCTTATTTCCCAAACACATTTTGCAACTAACGAAACAAAGTTGTCGTAGGTCTTAAATTCTTCGGATTTGTAAAGGTCAGAAACATTCTTATATACCATGTCGCAATCTTTGTCCATAACCTTATGGTTGCAATGAAAACCAAGGAATTCATAATTTACTTTACGTATGAACTTCTTTATTTCTACTGAGTCAGTTGCTTTGACTTCTATTTCGTCGAATTCAGGAATAGTTAGTTTTTGTTGTTGGATTTCAGGCAATTTGGGTAAATGGTCAATAATGTCCTGCATTTCATAAAGATACTGTTCATTTGTTTCATCTTTCGCACTACAGTCTAAATTACTTGTTAAAAGTTCTTGCTTTATCTTCTGGATTTTTGTTTCGAAAGTATATGAAGAAGGAATGAAGCTTTTCATCTCTACTAACATTGAAGTTGGGTTCATGACTAAAGAGTTTGGTGCTGTTGTTGCTAACATGTTCTTACAATAAAAATAAAAAAATATTTTTTTAAAAAAACCAACTTTATTTTTTATTTCGGGAAAACTCATGACAAATTCAAGAGGGTAGAAAAGAGGTTAGAAAACAGGTTATATCTAACCTTCTACCCTAAAATATATTTTTGCCGAATTCATGAGTTTTGGTTGAAAGAATACGGTGGAGCCAAAAGTGGCTCGACCTCAAAACAAGCATTTTCTGTATAAAATTCATGAAAATTCATGAGGTTAGAAAAGAGGTTAGAAAAGAGGTTATATCTAACCTTCTACCCTAAAATATATTTTTGCCGAATTCAGCAACAAAATTCAAATTGTAAACGGTTTAATAGAAAAAGTGTTATTTTTTCATGTCCGAAGACTCGAAGGTGCAACACTTCCAAAATACCGACGAACTCAGAAGAGCAGCATGGCAGTATGTTCTTGACAACTTCTTTGAGTTCTCCAGGTACACCTTGGAAAATGCTGAAGAACTCCGACACAGAGAATTTGGAGAAATTGCACTCCAATACTACCTTGACAAACAAAGGGTAAACAAAGGGTAAAATAAGACTAAAAACTTAACGTTTAAAAAGTGACATTTTTATGAGCTCCGAGTCACCGAGAAAACTTGGTCAGATGTTAGCAGCTTACTTCCCTGAGGAGGATGGAAGCGTTACATACGTAAGGTTCAAAAACAACGAACCTGGAATTGCGTACCAAATTCGCAATTACATGACCATGGAAGAGTACGAAAGGTTTCTACAAGAGAAACCAGCTCTAAACAACTCAGAAAAGAAAGAATAAAAAGTTTAACTCGTACTTGTTTATTTTTTTACTTGTATGGGCAAGCTGCAAGAATGAAGTCGACTATCTCAGTCTTTGTCTTGACCAGTTGGACTGCTCTTGCGAGTACGTCTGTTTTGCGGTCTCCAGCTGGTGTCTGACCTTCGTAATTGCGCATGTTCTTGAGAGCTCCAGTTGTAAATGGTTGTAGGATGAAGAGTCTCTCAGACTGCTTGAGGTAGTCTTCACGGTCACGAACCGAATCTGTGGTACGAGTCGAATCGGTCGATTTGAGGGAAGAGAGTGAGAGCCTGTCTTCTTCCATAGGGGCTGTGGCATACTCTTTGCGTAAACGGTTCAGACCTTCTTCGAACTCTTGGTCTCTCTTGGACTGAGATTGGAATTTGAATTGGGGTGGAGGGTTTGACATGAACATCCAAGGGTTAGGGAAGTAAGGCATGGGTTGAGGAGGGTAGTTTGGAAAGCCTTGTGGTGGGTAGTTTGGAAAGCCTTGTGGTGGGTAGTAACCTTGAGGTGGAAATTGGTAGTAATTCGGAGGTCCTTGTTGGAACTGAGGTTGCTGTGGGGAGCCTTGTGGAGGTGGAACCTGTTGTGGTGCTGGAGCATGCTGTTCTTCTGGCTGTGGAACGGGTTCAGTAGGTGGGACGTCGGACATTCGTTTGTGTCTTAACCGTCTTTGTTCTGAAACAATATAATATTGTCTTGAAAAAGTACAATATTGTCTTGAAAAAGTACAATATTGTCTTGAAAAAGTACAACATTGTCTTGAAAAAGTACAACATTGTCTTGAAAAAGTACAACATTGTCTTGAAAAAGTACAACATTGTTCTGAAAAAGTACAACATTGTTCTGAAAAAGTTCAAGACTTGTTCTGAAAAAGTACAGCCGTACTCAAATTTGAGAGACATTGTACTGAATTTATACAACATTGTTCTGAAAAAGTACAACATTGTCTTGAAAAAGTACAACATTGTCTTGAAAAAGTACAACATTGTCTTGAAAAAGTACAACATTGTCTTGAAAAAGTACAATATTGTACTGACTCAGTATGGAGCTTGACCCCTTAGACGAAGCAATTTATCTAATTGAGGTAAATGAAACCGTGAAGGAATATCTCAGCAAGTGCAAACCAAGCAAGTCCATTGGCTTCTGGTTGTCCAAGAATAGTGTCTTAAAGTTGGAAATTGAAACAGGTGTTGCAATTCAAGTTCCAGAAGGCACTGCATTCGATGATATTAAGGATGTGAAGAAAGAAGCCCTCTTGAAGTTCTTCATGAAACGTCCTTGGATACTACTTCCATATCGTGAGAGCCCAATTCCACGAATTACACAAATTCTCAGAGCACTACTTCACTACTCTGGACAGCCGTTCTTCATAACCTCAGAAGGCGACATCCAAACCAATTCAGTAAACATCTCATTTTAACTTCACTTTTTTTATGTTTTTACTCACACTCGTACTCAACAGGTTTGTGTACAACTATTTCAACTGTGAACCTTGTATTGACCGGTCTTCCTGCAAATGCAAGTTCGGTCAATACACAATTTATGGTGGCAAGAAAGACAGTGGGGAATGTTATTTGACATCTGTTGTTGCGCTCGAGAGAGAATTGAAATTCCAGACCCAACTCCAACAAGAACTCTCAAGTTGCCGAAGACTCATGTGAAGAAGAAGCCTTCTGGTAAGTTTCTTATAGCCATCTATATGGCACGCTTTGAGTAAAAACATTTTTTTTTTCTTTTTTGAATGAAGCAAGTTAAATTCGTCCCACACCAAACTCAATGGACCGATGAAGAGTTTCAAGCTATGGTTGAAGGTGTTGAGAACGACATAGACGGCGAACTTGAAGGAGCTCAAACCACAATTGCAACCAAAATTGCACAAGTCAAAGAAGAGATAGCTCCACTTAAAGCTACCAAAGCTACTCTTGACCTCATGGATAGTTACCGTTTAGATGTCAAGAGAGGAATAAGACAATTAAAATTAAAACTCTTAAATTACGAAGCTATACTCCAGAAGTTAGCAGAGATGAGAAGACTTTACCAGAGCTACTTACATGTAAGGGACTTACCTTCAAGCAGTCCGACCAAAGATGAATTTTCTGACATTGTCCCAATTTTGTCCGAAAGTCAGCTCAGATGTTTCGAACTGCTCCCAACATATCCAGAATATGAACGTTTGCCTGAAACTCTTCCGCAATCTCAAAAAAACGTTTTTTGGTTCTCATGTTCGAAACTTTTATCGGAAGAGACAACAAACGTTCAGAAGAAGAACAAGATATTATTTTAAACTTGTTGTATGACTTAACCGTCATAACAAGCTTTTTGAAGTAAAACCGCCATTCTCAAACCACTTCATTTTTTCGATGTCCGAACAAGCACGAAGCCGAACACAATGGCAGATGTCCTTTCAATGTTGCCAGACAAGCGCCCAGTTCAAATTCAAATTTTGAATTTGAAAGCTCATCTGACAAAACACCGTTAAGACTCTCCAAAGTAGTCTTATGGAAGAGATGACCAAGCTCAAAGCCGATGTCCTCATGAACCAAGCTTCCAATGAGAAATGCCTGAATGATTTGACGGAAACCTTGCGCATTTACGAGAGAGAGAACCGAGACCTTGCCAGACTCATCTACCGTTTCTTCGAAGAGATAGACGCCATCTGGAAGGTACTCGGAAAGGACAGAACCTCCAACACCGTATTCGTGAACACAGAATTGAAGAAGGAATTGTCGAGGAAGAAGAGGAAGAAGAGGAAGAAGAAGAGGAAGAAGAGAAACACGAAGAAGAGGAAGTTTGGGCAACCCTTGTTGCCGATGACACTTACGAAATTTCCCAACCCTACCCATACCAAATCCGCAACAAGGAGACAGGCAAGGTTCTTACCCCAGTCCTCAACAACTTGGGACACTTGAACCTTACCCTTCGGAATCGCGGTTCAATCTCCATGGGCAAGCTTGTCGCAATTCAATGGGTTCCAAATCCAACAAGAAGACGAAGGTCAGACACATTGACGGTGACAAGCTCAACAACCGTAAGGAGAACCTCGAGTGGTTCTAAGAGTAAAAAAATTTTATTTTAGGGGGAAACCCCGAGTAAATTTAGGTGTTTATTTAGTTAAGTAGCTTAAATTAAGGGTAATTTGGACAAGTAGTTCCTGACCCTGAATTGGACTCTTTCGTCATCCCAGTTGCGTAGGAGGTCGTCCCAGAGGAGTTGGTAGAATTGCCAATCCAAGGACGATTTGTCCTCCCAGGCATTGAGGATGTACTGCTCGTAGAGTTCATGACCTCTGCCTTGCACCAGACACCCTCTCCCTTGGAACGTAAGGCTTCTTCGAAGTGCTCGAATGCGATTGGCTGCGACCATCTGAAATGACACTTTTTGTCCGTTTGGTCAATGTTCGTGTCTCGTGCCATAGTCGACGAAAATACAACAAACAGGTTATATATGAGTTTGAGACCAAGAATGGTGTAACTCGACCTGTCCGATTCAAATTCGAATAAAAATTTTTTATTTCATGCAATGTTTTATTTCTGTGCCGTCTTCAAGTATGCCCCAGTACTTACGCTTGGAGAGGACATGAACTTCGGTGAAAATTTTGTCCAATTTGAATTGACCCATCTTTTCACCGACCACCCATTTCAATGAGTTTGTTATAGCCTTCTTCGTTCGTCATGAGTGCGTCAATGTTCTCATAGTAAACCTTCACTTTGGATTTGACTTCGGAGAAGAATTTGTTGTAGTTGTCAAGGACTGCCTTTGCGAACTGAGGGTAAGACCAATGTTCGACAATAGGTTTTACTGTGGTTACTAAGCCACTTTGACCTTGAGTGAATTCGTACTTCAAAACAAAAGGAGAAAACCTTTCAACAAAGTTGTCGACCTTCTCATAATGTTTACTCTTCATCTCTTGAGGTTTCTTAATGGAATATCCCCATGTCGAATTCATAAGCAATTTGAGTGTCATTGCAAGTTTGGGGTTTGAAGCTTTCCTAATATCATACAGTTGTTGTATGACTTTTCCAACTGTATAGTTCCTTCCTGGGAACTCATCTTCGTTTGGAATTCCAGTCGGGATATATTGGACGAACCTCATGTACGCAGCGTTAAGGTCGACATAGTATATCTTTTCATCTGAGTCGAACTTGTCGCAACCAATGGGTCCAGTTCGTGGAAATTCAAGTGAGTCTCTTATCTTCTGAGAAACTTCGCCTGCTATCTCATAAACATCGTCGAAGCAACCTGTTTCATATAAAACCTTCTGACCTAACTCAGATGCTCTCCAATACAATTTGACGTCAATTGGATGTCTCAATGGAAGTTTGTTTATAGCATCTTGAAGTTCTTGCAACCTCATTGGAAGTTCTTCTGGTTCAGGTTGGTATCCGAACAATCCAACTCCTTTTGGAACTGTACTTCTTTTGTGCTATAACTTTGTCTGGAACAACTTTTGGTCTTGCTAACAATGAAAAGTTTGTTTCGTCTTTTGGTACAAAAGTTTCTGTCAGCTTGTCATCTGGAATTGGTTCCAACAAACCTTTCTCGAAAAGAATGTTTACAGCTCTGACAATGTTGCACTTGCCTTTTCCGAACAATGGGTTTGTAAGACTTTCGTTCAACATGAAGTGGTTGTGGACAATTACAATCTTCAACCATGGTAAGTCTTTGTCAACAACATAGTCGTCATGTGAAGAACCTTTAGCTGTAGGTATGTTGACTCGGATATTGACATTTGCCAACGGTGCAATTTTTGCCAATTGACCTCTGAGAATGTACCTTGTCTTCACACATGACTCAAGATACTTCATCTTCTCATCTGTAACAAGACCAGAGTTCCTGAGACATGTAAGAATACAAGGTTCATTGACAATTGTTTCAATTGAATTGTAAATTCCATACCTTGTCAAGTCAATGTCAGACTTATTTATGAACGGGAAGTATCCAGCATGTTGTCTGACTGCTTGAGGGTTAGGTTGGTACCATTCGAACTTACACTTGCAATTCCTTCAATTGCATTCAAAATGTCTGAGTCGGAGTCAACCATTTGTTCTCTCTTTGTAGTCTTGAAAGCGTCAAGAAGCATTGCAGCTGTTGTGACATTGCCATGTGCATAGTAAATGTGACCATCCAAATCTGTTATGGTATCTGAGATTGTATCCTTTCTTATTTCCGTCTTGAATTGCAGCAAGTACTCCCATGAAGCCTTCTTTGTTCTTTCCTTCGTCAAAGTTTACTGTAAAGGTTCGACCAGATGTAATTTGACTTCTAACTTCACGATACTTTCATATGCATATCTTGTTCTTTCCATGGGAGCATGTGCGTCTTCACCTTTTCCTTTTTTCCTTCTCAAAGGATGCAATTGTTCGTCATGTTTCCAGTAGAATCTGGCAAAGCCGTCGTGTCCTTCAACTTGAGGTTCACTAACATCGAAAGGCATGTCCATAAGACGTTCTTCTTCTAACCTCTCTAGTCTGTTTGGATAATTTGCGCGTGCTGTTTCCAAGTCCATTTCATAGCGAAGACCAGACAATTTGTCATAGACTTTTATGGGTCTTCCCTTCCTATATTTAAACTTCTTTGAAACTTTCCAACCATATCTTTCTAACTCTGCTTTTATTCTAGCAGACTTCTATCCATTCTATATGGGGGCATTTTTATAAAAATAAAAAAATATTTTTTTCTTTACTTTACATAACCGCCTGCTGCCATAAGTCTTTGACGCCAACCCATACCAGCTAATGAAGGTTGACTTGGTTTAGTTTGGAAACTAACTTTGGTTTTGGTTTATCTTCAGTTTTTGGTTTCTTCTTCTATCGGTTTTTCGTCACTTTTCGGTTCCTCTGACTTTACTCACTTGCAGGTATGGTTGTGTCGTCAACATCTTCATAAATATCATATGCCATTTGTTTT